CTACAGCTCCGCACATGGTGCATGTACACCCTGTTGTAACAAAGGCGCGTGTGTGCATGTGTGAGCGTGTATGTGTATGCGTGTGCACGCACGCACGCTTGGGGCAGCTCCTTCTGCTTTCTTGTTTTGGGCTGAAGAAAGGCTTGAGAAAGGCAGCTGGCGAGAAAAATACTGCGGTTGCAAGTTAGCACTCCTGGGCAACACGCAGTCTTGTCACCCCGCTGAACTAACTTTCTTGTTCTCTTGGGTGCTGTTGATAATTTTGCTGATTTGCAGAGAAAAGGAAGCCCATGTTCGTGGCTGGTCGGCGCGTACCTTTGCGGCAGTGCAGGTGAGGTTGTGCCAGTGCCCTGCTCTCCCCGTGCCCGGTGCGCTCCCGTGCTGTGCCGGCTTCCGAGAGCACTAATGATGCGTATCAAACTAGATAATCTCCCAGATCAAGAGGACAAGTGTTTAGCCTTGATGGGATAAGAAGCAAACAAGGTTTGTGGTGACACCCCCTCCCCACATGCACACAGTTTGTTATCGGAGCCAATTAGATGAGATGGTGTTGCACAAGCCCTTCCTCAGGGTTTTTAAGGGATGTACAGATAGACTCTAGTTGCAGATACAGCCACAAATAGATAATAATAAAATTGATCATATTTTCTTTTGCTTTTATTTATTGCTTTTTCCTGGAAGATTGTTTACAAAATGAATAGTTCTAAACTCTGTCTGCCGTTGAAAAACAGAATACGGAATTTGATGTTGAAACAGAAATTGATACCTGGAGACGTTTGCAAGTGCAGAGACTGTCGTATTGGTTTTGCTTGGCACGAGTTTTATTCGTAACTCCATGCCACATTCTAGTACGATCTTGAAATCTCTTATGCCTGTATGGCAATGGTTAAGATCAGCAGCCTTTAATTTGGATGCACTTTGAACTCCATGGGACCTCCGACAAGTTCTCGTTGTGCATCAGGTCCACCACCCTCTACCGCACTTGAGCAACAACTTTTTTGCTAATGTCTAAGGCATTTTCTTCTGACTTTCCCAAGTTAACCATTCTGCTTCCTCCAAGGTATTTTCATTTATCAGGGTCAACTAGCTCAGCTTTTTTCTCCTAAACTTGTTGTTTTGGGTTTTTTTTTCGTGTGTGTGTGTGTGTGTGTGTGTGTGTGTTTTTTGGTGTGGAATCAGTACAGGGAGCAGCATTAAATTAACAGTGTTCATTGCATAGCTCTTGTTTTCGTGACACCTGTGATCTGTCTACCTTCATCTTAATGTAAGGGTTTTGCAGTCCGGCAATCTGGCAGTTTCTTTCTTGAGAGCTCATTTGGAAGCACAAAGAGTTTTGTGATTTGACAATTTGGCACTTGCATTTCTTCTTTTCTTCTTCAACCTGAATATGTATTAAAATATTCGTTTTAATCTATTTCGCATAATTGATGCTTCAGCAGTTTGTACAGCGAATGAACAATTTTATGCAAGAAATAAGCAAATGGGGTGAAACGAGCCGGGTGAAAGGCAGATGATTGGCCCAGTCTGGGCAGTCTAACCAGCACAGTGAAGCGTGCTGCTGAAAAGCTCCTTCTGTGTGAAAAGTTCAGGGCTCGGGGCATTTAAAACAGACCCAGCCAGTCACTTTCATTTATCATCTCCAATGCGGAGAAAAAGGCAGTCATAAAATCTTTGTGACCCATCTCGCTGCAGTGATGAGCAGCAGCTTCAGCTTTCTTTCCTGCTTTCAGAGATGGAAAGACTGTAGATCTTGTTTCCGCAAACTCTCTTAGACATTGGGAATCACCAACTTTTTTCTTTTCTTTAAATTAAAGACTGCTCAGAAAAAGCAGGATGCTCCCCTTTGTCAGACACTTGTTTTTCCAGTAGCACATCGGGAGCAGGTTTTGGAACACGGGACTGGAATGTATGAAAATGCAGAGGACCTGACCGGGATGCTTCTGCTTCTACCTCCCATTGCGCTGCCGACACGGCAATGCCATACTGGTCTGAAAGGGTCACAACATACATAAACAGTCTGGAATAAAACATGTATCATCTCAGAAACAGTAAACTCAGCACTGCTGAACTGGATGGTTTAAAAAAAAGAATAATTTAAAACTAAATTCCGTAATCATTCTCTTTTTGCTTTTTAATTTATCAGTATGTATTTTTTTTTTCTCGTGGTATAATGCTATCTTGATTTCTTAGGCAGAAATGTTGGTTTAAGTGTGGGTTTGTCTGCATTTACCTCTTTATCTTTTTCCTTTCCTGAACTTTGTAGGCAGAAATAATCTTGAACCTATCAAATTTGCTTGACCCAGTAGATATTATATACCTCTAACATGCGGAGCAGGAAGGTTCAATCAGGCAAACACTGCCTTAGTAGGTAGTGAATGAGTAAAATCTATAAACTGAATAAAGTTATTCTTGTTACATGCGGCAATAGATGCGTTTGCACTTTCTAATTAGTGGGGAAAATGTGGAGAAAAGAGAGTTGTTAGATTATGAGTGTTTAAGCCTGCCTGTTTTTTTGTAAATAGAAACATTACCGGCTCCCCATCAGAATGGGTATGGATATTCCTGGAATTTCAAAGGGATGAGTGGGCATGGTAATGTGTGCCACAGAACAGGGTTGAAGCATAAGTTAAAATGATTTCAGCAGCCTGTTCAGGTGAACAGGGTAAGGGATGGGACATGGCTTCTTGGAGTCTTCAACGGCAAAGAAAGGAAACATCTGTTTGTGTCTGGCTGTAACTTTATTGGCTTCGATCCCTTTCAGTAACTGCAGGCTGGAAGATGTAAATTGTATTACAAATACCGAGAGTTTTCTTGATCCATTCGTAGTCCTGCTCTAGAAGAAGGGTTTGGTAAGGTGTGCGCGCGGGGCAGTGCTGCGCGGTGGCCGCTGGAGGCGGTGGGGCTGCGGTGGGTGATGCACCGCTGCGCTGCTTTGCCCTGGTGCTGGCGGCCGCTGGCTCCGTGTGCTTTTTGATGTCTCTGAATTTCTCAGCTTTTCCCATGGAAGCTCTTCAGAATGTGAATGGTGATGGTGTTAGCATGAAATCCTGTCTCTAGTGAAGCGAAGATTAATTGTACCATTGAACTCATTAAGGAAGTGGCTTCGCCCTCCTTTGCATAGGAGCTATCTTGCGTGCAGAAACACCTCTTCAAAGAGGGCTTTGCCTACAGAGGTGCCGTCTGTTGGTAATTATGGATGCGCATCTTTGGACATTCCGGTGTCTTTATTAGAAAACCAGAAGCTTATCTGTTCCGGTATTAGCTAAAGCTGAATGTGTGCCAGCCCCGGCTCGTCATGCAGCTGTAGGGTCCAATTGCACACAACATAGAAGCTCTGGCTGCTTGTTACCTAGCAGGGACTTTAAATAAGTAAATATATTTTTAAAATCTGACACTTGGCTGCAGGCTAGTTTGGGTGTCAGCTGGTTTTGACAACCAGTCATGTCTATCTGCACCTTTTTTTTTTTTTTTTCTCCCCCTTCCTTTTCATTCTGCTGTTTTAGTGAAGGAAACGAGTTCCTTAAACAGCCTTAGGTTTAGCTCTGCAGCTCACTAGTGCAAGTGGCCCCCAGGACAGAAATATTTGTCTTAATATGGTTAAATTGTATTGTAGTCTTTGTTGCTTATAAAAACAAACCAAAAAAAAAGGCAAGCCAATTGCTTTTGTCTATTGAGGTAAATCTCGTATTGATTTAAAATTTGAATGGAAATGGGAATGTTTACATGCAAAGCTCTGTCAGAGTATTTTATTTTATTTTCTAGTGTTGATGTGGTGGTTCTTTTTGTGATGAAATACAGAAGCAAAGGAACACTGGCTAGAGGGTGTAGCAGGCTATTGTGGTATTTGTGGAAGAAGAGGTAAACTTTTGGTAAATCTCGTGGAGACCAAAGGAGAGATTGTGCATCTCAAAGCGTATATTTTTTTTTTTTTAAACTCTGGCTTTATCATACAAAACTAAAAAAATAAATACATTGACATTAACACTGTGCTCAAAAATAGACTGCGGCTCTGTATAGTCTTTCAAATACAGTCAGCACAAACTCCAGTTGGATCAAAGCATCTCCCACAGTACCAACAGGCAAAAAGACCTGCTGTCGAGCACATCTGCCTGCTCCTCCAAACTTCTCTGTGACAAACACCGCTGCTTCAGCCAGCCAGTTCCACTCCAGTATACAAAAGTATCCGAGAGTGACTGTTTCCCTAGTGAATCCGGGAAATAGATGGACTAATCTGTGCACAAGGCTTATCAAGCAAGAGCTGGCAGACACATCCGTAAGGTTTCCCTCCTGGATCCGTCTCCGGAAGCTGTGACACCGTGCCGGGCCTCATCTGAGCCAACCTCGTTTTCTTGAGACTCGTTATGATGGGGTGGCACTGGCAACTCGTGATGTGTGTGTGGTCAAGGGCCAAGGAATAAGGCTGGGAGGGGCTGGCGGGGAGCGAGACGTGAGGTCGAAGGAAAGAGCAGCAGGACTGCCTGGAGAGATGGGAGCGTGAAGGAGGTGGTGGCCCACAGTCGTCGCGGCCTCAGAGTCTGGCTTTGTCAAGGAGGTACCTTACATCGGCAAACCTGAAGTATCGCCTGTTTTGTGATGTGGTGTTCAGTAAAGGAAGACCATTCCTGGTGGCTTTCTCAGCCTGCACTTCTTCAGCTTCCACACCAAGCTGTCCTGTAGTCATAGTCTTTCTTGGTCCTGCTAAAATGGGCAAATCAAAGTGTTTCCAGGCTTGTAATGTTGAAAATCCCACGGTCTCTGGAAATATCTCTGTCGCCGTACTGTAAGGCTTTTCTCACTGTGCATGTATAACATTTCAATTTATTAATACTGTTTGTGCAATTTGACCATAAGTGGCTCTGGGCTGAGCAGTTATTGGATTTGCTAGCATAAATAGCGGTGCTTAATTGAGCCTAAATTATTTGTAGATGCGGAGCATGTTCACTTCCTCCGCCTTTCTACCGTCTTCCCCAATTAACTTTCATTTCTCTGTTTTGTTGCAGAGCAAGGAAGTGGGATTGCAGCTCCAGGAAGACTTGATGAAGGTCTTGAATGAACTCTACACGGTAAATCAAACTGACTTTCTTGGCATCTTTTCAGGCAGAAGGAAGAAGTGTTTGACTTCTCCCAGCCTGCTGTTACAGCAGAGACCAAGCCCCAGGACTGATAAATGTCTGCAGCCTTTGCAGTTTGAGGCAGCTTGTGTTCGCCAGCCTACAGAGCACCATAAATCTCACTTTTTCACTCTATCCTTATATTGTTTCAGCTCTGTAAGTGCTGGCTCCGCTTCTCAAATATCCCACCTTAACGCACACCTGCTACTAGCTGCAGTGTTGGTTTTAAAAAGATATATTAAAATTATTTCCAAATACTCTAAAAATCTTCAGTCCGTGGTTTTGTGTGGTCTGAGCATACAAAAGGCAGCATACAGCTTCAGCGGGGGGGACCCACTGTGTTTATTTGTTCCTCAACTCTTTCAGCAAAACAGCTCCCTTTAGAGTAATAGCCTTCCATCTGCGCTTTTTGCTCCTCAGCGTATCCATTGGAGACACCAAGAAAGAGGCACTGCCTCGGGAAGGAGAAGGAATGTGTTCATAAAAGTTCATATGCTGCTTGGGGATTTTTCTTCTCACATAGATGAATGGAAAAGCCTGTTGTTTGATTAAATTTTTGCTTTCTGCAGCTGTTACTGAGTTAGTTCTCTTTTAAAAGCAGAACCTACGCATGGTTTTGTTGCTCAAAGTGGCTTTTCTTTTGTCCTTCCTTAATGATACATTGGGTCATTACACTGAGGTACATGTTCCTTCCTTCGTTCTTTCAAAAGATGATCCAGGGGTGTTTCTCAAGCCACGGCTTATCAACCTTGTGAAATTCAGTGGTAATATCAATGCTAGAGTATTAGCAGGGGGTTCCCTGAAATTTCCCGTATCAACAAAATGTATAGAAGGGAATTGTTTATTAGAGCACTGAAGCCAAATATTCAGACTAATCCTTTAGGAAAAAAGGGAGCTCGGGAGTAGGAAAAACGTTCTTGCTGCTGAAATGGCAGTTGAAGTGAGATGCTGAATCCGGTTTAGGATTTTCCTCCTTTTCTGCCTTAGAGAGCGTTACTGAGTCTTTTCTGTGGGCAAAGAGGGTTTGTGTTCCTCGATGGGAAAGCCAAGAACAAGCTGTAAGTTAGAAGCTGAAGGCACTTTGATGCTGACCTGTGGTTCGATGCGGTGTTGCTGTAGTTAGCACAGCCTTCGTTTACAACAGCGTGAGCAAATGGCGTTGTGCTCATGTTCCTGAAAGGCAGAGAATTTCCTTCGGGGCTGAGGGTGGCTTTGGAAGTGTAGCAGTGCCTGTCGTCAGCACTGCCTACTCTAGAAATTATTTTTTATTTGAGGGCAGCATCTGATTCAACTGTTGAGTCACGTACTGGGATGGGATACTAAGGAAGAATGTAGGTCTGTCTCTAAACACAGACTTTTAGGAGCTGAGATTTATTTCTAAGCCAAGTTCACGTGGCGCTGAAGTTGATAAGGTGGCTGGTTGGTGGAGTATATGTAGACATATGTAATAATTTCTGCATGCCAGGCTCTGACAGATCATTGAGCCAAATACCAAGTCCTGATCATTTCTCTTGTCACTGGAAGGAAGGTCTTCCAGAATTCAGCCTTTGATAAAGAAAGCGATAGAGGGTATTAACTTTTGTAATGTCAGTGCTAGGGACTTGAAATCTATTTATTCAGTCCTTCTGCTGTAAAATTTTAAATTGTCCCTACACCAGAAAATTCATTTTCCTTTGGAAAAAAATCACTTCTGCTGGTCATGTTAAAAGATATTTCTTGCTGGACTCAATTTAATCACTGCTGGGATTGCTTTTATTGGTACTTTTTGAAATATTCCCACGTCTTGTTCTGTTGGTTTCCAAAGGATTGGGAGAAACCCTGTTTTCAGGCAAAACGGATATGGACAAAGCCTTTAGTTTCCTTTCACAGATAAAACATAACCTATAAGTTTTTGTCGTGAATTGTCCTGTGCAATCAGTCCTTGGCTGTGCTGTTGCCCTCAGCGGGCACCAGTGAGCCACCAGTGACCCCATGGTCAAACCCGGGGCCGGCACAGGTCATGGTTACCAACCAGGCACCGTCAGCGGGATAAAATCATTAAAATTGTGATTTCTATTTCTGCTTCTCTTGCTTTCTGCCAGTTCCACTTTCAGTGACAGAGGAAAAGGAACTACTTTGCATCTATTATTATAAATGCCTGCTTTATAGTCTAAGCATATGCAGGAGCTGGAAGTGTGTGTGTAAATTATTCAGAAAGTCGCTCTTTAATACTGGCTGCATTCACATTCTCTTTCATGTTTAAATACAACGTCTCTTTGTATCTGAGAACCTTTGCTGATCACTGCATAAAGAGAGAGCATGCGTCCTACTTACGTAAAATTATGTTATGGTTCAAACTAAGGTGAAATAGGTATAAATGGGTTTTCAACTGAAATAAATCAAATTATTTGCAAGTGGGGTCTTTATTAATGCTGGAACAACACTACTGGGGGGTCTTTATGCAACTGTGTGGGTTTTGCCCCCCTATAAAAATTAGTATCATAGTAATGTTTGCTTTGGTATGTGAATTGAACTGTTTTGCATTTGTGGATAAAAAAAATATCTAGTTTGTGTACTGTTTCCTTTGGGGTTTTGGTTCTGTTTTCTTAACACAAAGCTAGACATGAATAGCCTGTAAAACAAATGGGGTTTTTTTTGTGACTTTGGGGGATATTTACCTATACTTACTTACTTATAAAAAATACGCTATAATAAAAGTTGTCCATATAGTACAGGGTCCAGGTCTCCCTAAGCAACAGAAGCACACTCTTTTATTAATGTTTTTATTACATAAGGTGAACAGAAGTACTTTTACATATCAAATTTGATTTAAACAAATCAAACCTGAGTTGCTTTTGCAGCCATTGTGTTCAGGATATTGATTTGCATACAGTTCCTTGAGACTTGTGATGTTTAGAGGACTGATTCATCCAGATAAAAGCCTGATAGGCATCCCTTCTGAAACCTTACCTGCTGATGAAAAGCTATCATTTTCCAACCTTGGCATATAATTTTCTTTGAATAGTAAGGAGGCTGGATTTAGTCTGTATCTTTTTTTGGGTTTTATGACTCCTTTATTGGATTGTGCAGGAAGGCGCATGCCAAAGTTAAACAAAGAAGCAGCTGCAAAATAATCCACTTTTGATTTCAGATTCATTGTGAGCGCCACACTTTCATTCCTGCATCTTCTGTCGTGCTTTTTTGAGATATGAAATTTCCCTGAGTATTTTGCTGGTTTAGATATTTCTAACTCACAACTAGCAGCCAGGTCTGACCTGCTGGTCGCTGTCTAAATGCCTTTGCTTAGTTTGGACAATGTCATCCGTTTAACAGAAACACGATGGACAGCTATTATGAAATAGTTGTGTTAAAGAAACTTAGAGTTTTGTGGAGTGCCTTGGGCAAATTAAAAGTGTCACTGCATGTGACTTCGTTCTTAGGATTTTTTCCTCCCTCTATCCTGTGAACTTTCCAGGTACAGGTACTGCTCTTCTCCCTAAGATTTGGTCATGCAGATAAAGTAAGGCAAAACATCCGTATGCCTTGTTTGTTGGTTAGGGAAACCCATTTCATCCTCATCAAATCGGACGTGGTGCTCTCTGACTCTTGTGTATCATTTTCTGCAGGTTATGAAAACCTACCATATGTACAACGCTGACAGCATCAGTGCTCAGAGCAAACTGAAAGAGGCAGAGAAGCAGGAAGAAAAGCAGATTGGGAAGTCGGTGAAACAAGAGGACAAGCAGACGCCACGTTCCCCGGACTCAACTTCCAATGTCAAATTTGAAGAAAAACATGTTCGACGAAGCTCTGTCAAAAAAATAGAGAAAATGAAGGAGAAGGTACTTCCATAGCGTTGCTCCTGCTTGTGTAGAGTGCTTGAGGAGGGGACCTTTGCTACTGAGTTCCCTCCTTTGTGACGTTCAAATGCAAGCCTCGGTTTTTGTACAAGTTTTAAACACTGAGATTTAGGAAAGGCAAAAGCTAGCACCGCGTTTCTTTGGCACGATAAGCTAAAACGAGGTTAGAGTATGAAGGTAACAACTGCCTTCTGCGAAGTCGTCATCAGTGTATTTTTTTTCTTGTACAAAGTACAAGATTTTTGTTCGCCATTTAATGCCAGCCTAAGGTCTGACTGGCGCTACAGGGAGACGTGCAATCCCAAACAGACTTGATAGGCAGAACCAGTTGCCTTAGCAATCGGTCAGCCAGTTAAGTAGTTCAGGATTCAGGCCAATAGGAGGTGAAGAGTTATTTTTGGATTGATTGAGGCTCTGAAAGGACCAAGTTTAGGCCTTGTTTCTGCTGGAAGAGGTGGAGTGCCTGTGGCAGCCCTCAGACTACCTATGGGCTTCTCGCAGCCGCGCCGGTAGTGCTGGAGCTGAGCCATAACCGTATAAACCCGCCTCGATCCTTCATTCTTCCCTTAATCTTCCCTAACCCGCAGTCTGTTTTCAGAGAAGACTTTAATTGCAAAGCTGTCTAGGATAGTAATGCTTAAAAACATCTAAATAATTAATCTAAATTCTAAGTCTTTGAGTCTTGATAAAACTGGAATCCGAATGAACAAAACCTGTGGGAGCGGGGTAAGGTTTGTTCAGTACGCTGTGGTGTTACTAGGAATGCTGCTGCTCCTGCTGCACCTCTTTTTAAAATACAGTCTGATTTTGGTTTCTCTTTTAGCGCCAAGCGAAGTACACAGAAAATAGACTGAAGGCTATTAAGGCAAGAAACGAGTATCTGCTAGCTCTGGAAGCCACCAACGCCTCTGTATTCAAGTATTACATCCATGACCTGTCTGATCTCATTGATGTAAGTGCTGCTGCTTGGGTGCCTGCAATGAATATCATTGCTGTTAACCCTCACGTGTGCCTCTGCTTCTTCAACATCCTATATCCCTGGTAACCTCTGTACAGCTGTGGAGTGATGGTCTTGGACGGGCAGCTTAGAGAGTAACAACAGGCGTGATAATCGGTCATTAAGCTGTTAAGTGAGCTTTTCTGAGGTGGCTTACTGGGAGTCTGTTGCACAGATAAAAGCTTGCACAAGAAACCTGGCATTGAAACCTGTGGAAGGAGGAGGTGCGTAGTTAAAACGAAACTCAGTATCAGTATCACACTGTCGCTTGACATTTTCTATTTACTATTTTAAGCAAACCCTCAAGATTATAACTCAGAAGCACATTTCAAAAAAGGAGAATGTTAACCGTAGAACAGTATACCAGGTGGTAAAAGAAATGAGGACCGAAGCATTTTCTAAGGCTGCCTTTAGCTTGTTTTGAAAAATGTCATATATTTCAAGGTTAATGCTTTCTCTAGAGTATTTCACAAGAGGGATGTACCTCCCTGCTTTTTAGTCTTCCCATTCTCTGATACCCTGACCCACCAGCTCTGCAGCAACTTGACGCATTTCTTCTGTCCAGTTCTGAAGGGTGTCAGAGGAGTGTCAACAACAATGGAGGTTCCACTGCTTGCCACTCCGCAGTCTCTCTGTTTGCGCAAAGAAATGAAGAAATAAACTAGCTATAGAAACCAGTCCTCCCCTTTCCTTGGAATGCTTTCTGCACAAACTGGGTGATGGAGGCGAAGGTGGAGGGAGCTTGTTCCCCAGCTGCCTGCAAGCCCTCTGTTCTGCAGCTCAGCGCTGCCCCCACTATTCAGGGGGCTTCAATTCTGCTTTTAGTCAAATGCACAACAATAAAACCCAAATCTCTCCTCTTTGAAAACTCAGAAAATCCAATTAGGAACCCCGAGATTTTTCACAAATACGTAACTACCCACTGCGACCTGCAGAACTAGAGCACCACGTGCACCGAACGCGTTGTGTCTGGGTCGCTGGCTGCTGCTTGATCTTACTCTGCTTGCCAAGGCCAGCGCGCTGCCGTCACAATCGGAGACACTCAACTGCAAAGCCTGAAGGGAACTTTCTTTGTAGGAGGAGGTAGTAATGAACAGAAGTGTCTCTAGACACTGGCGATAAAGAGCACTCAGATCACTATTAATTAGTCAGCTATTATAATACCTAACGCTATGTATAATGCATTTATTCAGCTGATCATAAAATCACGTGAAGTGCACTTCTGCTAGGTATTTATTTAATTCTGTCCTTTGGAGGTCAGGATTGTGAGCGCTAGATGGTTTTGAAAAATACTGTTATTTCAAAATGTCACGTTCTATAAAATTGCTCTACTGAAGAGGCATGTTTCGTTTGTACCTGCTGCCTGGTTGGGAGACCTTTTTTAGTTAACATTTGCTCAACTTGAATTGTGCCATCTTGGTTTTTTAACAAATGATAACTTTCTATATATTTTTGTATGGAAACATGGAAGATTAGGATTCATTTCACTAACATCAGTGTAATTCAGTTATCTTAATTTTTTCTTTTAAAATCCTATCTATAAGTCCTCCCTCAAATTCTGCAGATGTGCTGGGTTCAGTTGTCTGCTAACACACTGTTCTTAGTCTGTTTTGGGGAGTCGCGTGTAGTAAAGAATCCATTTGGCTTTCATAAAGCCGTAACAATTTTTAAGCACAGACTTGAGGTCTTTTAAGCTGTTTGCTGACAAGTATGGGTTATCCAGCTCTGAAGGGAGTGCTGCTCTCATGAGATACTCTCAGCCCTCTCTGGGGCAGGGTGGGCAGTGGGGCAGGACGAGAAGCCAGGCTTCTGCAGTGCATGGATTTGTCACTGTCCTAGAGAGGAGCCACCGTGACTCTGGGTGAGTCTAGGCCCTTTTAAGCCCCTTGTGTTCCTCGAACCATTCAATTTAACACTGCATTGCAAGTTCTCATAATCTTTAAAAGAGAAGTATTATCTGCTCTGTTTTCTGAAGGCATGGAAAAATGTGGGACTTGCCTGGGAGCACAGGAGATGGAATTCAGTTATCTCATTGCTAAGATGCCGGGAACATGGATTTACTAATGCCTTTGATCTGAAGGATCGAAAATTAACAATTATAACCAGTGATGGTTATCTGAAGCGTCTGACTTAAATAAAAATGTGGTTTTTAAGCCAGGTCCTAATTCTTTTCCTTGATTTAATAATTTGATGATACTGAATGTTGAAATATAATATAAAAGCAATCTTCAAAGTTACTTAGAAGTAGATTGTGTTAGGCCAAATAGCATTAAACTTGCAATGTTTATACAACACATTGTGTTCCCCCTCCAATGTGCAGGGAAGGATAACAGTGAGTTAATTCTCCATGGTGAGTTAAGAGTAATAAATTGTTCCTGACGTAGCCCAGTAGTTTTGAATTTCCTGACTTTGGGGACGGAGGCAGCTCTTTGATGCTAATGAAATATTACAGTAATGGGGAAGTTTGTATTAACTCATGTTTATGAAAGGGTCACTAGGACAGAATTTAAAAAAAGATAAAATGCCTGTGTATGTGTGAGTCCTAAAGGTTACTTTACTCTTCTAGGAATAGGTATACTACTGTTGTTTACTCCAGGATCTCATATTTTTCCCTGCCAAATGTAAATTGCATTTTAAAACAGAGGGCTCTTTCTCCTTAAATTTTCTGGTTTGGGCCTGTTTGAAAACTGCAGACTGGCAAAGGGTTAATCAGCTGTCATGTTGGGAAGTGAATTTGAATGAGTTATCATTAAATTCTTATAAAAAATAGATTTCCTTGGAGAATGATTCCATCAAACATTTATATAACCCAGAAAAGGGATGGCAAGACTGATACATTTATAAATACGGTCTGCTGGACTTTCAAAAATGTTAAAAAGTGGGGGAGTGGGCCGAAAAATGTTTCCCGTCACTGGCTTCAGTAACACAAAGCTAAAATCTTTGCTGTTTTAATGCAGTCCCGCTGCTGGGTGAGGTGGGGTGTAAAGCATTAAGTCCCATTTCACCTCCCCATCCCACCGGCGAGCTCCCTTCGTGCCACGGACCGGCTCTCCTTCCGCAGGCGGATGCGCGCTGGAGGAGGGCGAGCGCGGGGAGGACGAGCTGGTGGCCCCGGGTGGGTGCGCAGCCCTCTGCCCACAGCAGGAGGGGACAAGGAGCGACTGCTCCTGTTAAATCTGAGCTGATCCCAATCCTGGCTGGACGGTTGGCCCAACGTGGGCTCTCTTTCCCCGAACGGCTGCAGAGGACGGCGCTGTAACGTGCATGCAGAAGAGCAGTAGCTTTGAGTGGCTGTTGATCCAAGACTGCCTCCACACGTGCAGATTCTCAATCAAGCGTCTTTTGTGGGTTTTTTGGCTAGTTTTTGTTCTTTCTGATTGAATGTAACGTCCTTTAATTCTCTGCCTCCAGCCTAACCAGCAACTGCGGCTCTTTTCACAAGACTCCACACCTGCCACAGCTTGTTGGCACAGGAGCCGGGCATCGAGCAGCACTTGGTGACAGAAATTCTGTGAAAGCAGGGAATGGTCCAGTAGTTGCTTTCTCTTCGCTCTCGCTCCGCCCCTCCTTCCTCCCCCCCTCCTTTTTTTTTTTTTTTTTGCGTTTGCACACAAAGACAGTGATGAGACCCAAATGATGGGTGAGGAGGAGATTTCATGTGAATTTTGCTTACGGAGCAGCACAGCAATCGAGCAGATGGTCTCTTTCTTTTTGGATATCCTCCTAGCGTGTGTAATCTTGCTTGTAATTCCAAGAAGGTGGGCTCCTTTCTCGCTCGCTTTATTAGATGTCTGAAAAAATCAGGCTGTTTCTGATCAGCTAATGAAAAGGGCCTTTCTCCCTTCTGAAACATTAAGACTTGGCTGCGCGGCCGTGGTGGAGATGAAGCTGCTTGATTGTCTTCCAGTGACATCATCCTGGTGTCAGTAATAGCCAGGAAATTCTTGACCACGACCACTTTCTGCTTGAAAGTTTTTGCTCTTCTGTTTCACCCCAGCAGTGAAGTCATCCCAACTGATCGCTGCTTGCTTTTTGGATGAGTCTGTTCTCTATGCCTGTGATGTTCAGGGCATGTTCTTGCTTCCTGAAGTCCACTGAATTAAGCAGTTTTCTGTATCTCGGGTGGAATAATTTAGATGCAGATTATCCTTTGAAGATGGTCCAAATCCCGTGTCTTGTTTCTCCAAGTAGTACTTTAGAGCGTTGTTTTGCTCTTAACTTTGAATAATTTTATTTAAGGATTTTGGAGTGTTTTCAATGGGAATCAACGCCCCTGCAAGTAAGGTTAGAATCTAAAGAAGTACACTGAACAACTCACTTCTAGGTTACTTTTTGGTCTTTTAACAGCATGAAATGAACTCTCTCGTACTCCAGGAGAGCTCCACAAAGTGTTAAATAGTTTAAGCTGTATTTGTCTTGGAGAATAACTATAACATGATGTTGAAATTTGTATGGGATTAGAGGTTGAGAATTCTGTTTGGGGCCAACTCTGAGGACCCCTGCTCAAGATGCCTCTGCGATCAACGAGAGATGTGAGACCGCTCTTGTACCCAGAAGGTGATAAAATATCCACGATTTGTTACCCATTTATATAACTTCTAGCTCTGGAAACATTTTAATTTCCATTACAGAATTTCTTCACTTACTCATATGGAATTGTGTGTCTTTTTCCAGCAGTGTTGTGACCTGGGATACCATGCTAGCCTCAACAGAGCTCTGAGGACATTCTTGTCTGCTGAGCTAAACCTGGAGCAGTCGAAGCACGAGGGTCTGGATGCCATTGAAAACGCCGTTGAGAACCTGGATGCCAACAGTGATAAGCAGCGCCTGATGGAGATGTACAACAATGTCTTCTGTCCCCCCATGAAGTTCGAGTTTCAGCCGCATATGGGTGATATGGTCAGTTTATATTCCTGCGCCGGCTCTAGCTCGGGAAACACTTGCAGCTTCGCCTTTTTACTTCCCTTGTCTTTGCTAGATAGACCCACTAAAAGGCCACCTGTTGGGCTCTATTTTTGGGAGGTAGAAGGGAGCCTTGGAAAATGGAGCTGATTTGAAGATTAAGCAGATGCTCATGGCACGGGTGTCTGAATACGGCCAACTGTCACTTTTTGACTATCAAAGCTACTAATGTTAATTAGGTATTATACTAAATGTGGATAGGAAACACTGTTTTAACCTCTCGTTCAGGCCCCTGTTAACCTCTGCGCCCTGAGGCAGACTGAAGTGAGAGATTTGAGGGAGTAACAAGATAAGAGACTTAAATGCTGTGGTTTTTAGGTATTTGAGTCTGTAATCTTAGAGCACAAATGGTTTATAGTGGTGCTTTATGCATCTTCGTTGTGAGACATGGCGGTCAGAGGACTTTCATTTTTGGCAATGAAAACCTCTCTCTCTGTAGGTTTATCAAGATGTGGTTACCCATCTGGGAACTGTTTAAAGTCGCACAAGCTGAAACCAGCTCACAAATCTAAATGGGAACACATGTACAATGTAATAATTTAGGTCAATTGGTTGGATTTCTGGATTCTCCTCCTGAACACTGAGGAAGAGCTGCAAGGATGGTCTCTTGCAGGCAGCCTCTTCTTACAGGCGCTGCTTAAGGCTTCTCTTTCTCTTTTCCCTCTTAAATGAAACCCTCAGACTGCAAATGACCTTTCTCAGTTTTTCTGTGCTTTGGTAGTATTCTGTAAGATCGTGGGAAGAAAAAGAATTACCTGCAGACTGTCATTCAGTTCACAGCTCACATTTGCCGAATCATTTATCTTGGTTGTTCTTGAGGCCGAATGGGCGTTTATAAATGTGGGCTTATAGTCTTGTTGCAGTGGTCGTGCATGTACCAGATTGAATATATGATGGTATATTTGCACAGGTGTGATAAAACTTCCATTCCAGTTTCTGTCCTTAAACAATAGCCTTATGCAATAAAGTCAATCTGTTCCTTTAAAAAAATAAATATGAACCTAAAAGGAAAAGCTGCCTCGTGCTGTGAAGTAAGAGTAATTCTTGAAGTACCGGGAAGCCCACTGTTCTGGCATGTTTCACAGGTCCCTAACCTGTTCTTTTTTTGTTTTGAATTTGCTGCATTCATGAAATAGCAAATCGTACCTGTTGCTGTAGTGTACAGGTGGTTCGGCTGAGAAAGCTCAGTCATTCTTCCCCCTGCCCCAGGGTGCCCAGATGACATATTGAACCAAATTTTTCTTCATCCGCTAACAAGCACACCGGCTTCTACTGGAGGTTTTAGGGTGTGATTTAGCCTGATATCTGTGATAGAGGACCTTCAGACTTTCAAAACTCATGACAAGCTTACATTACTGAAAGCAGCTAATTTTTTCTAGTTCTTTGGTGTTCATGTTCTGTCTCTTGCTCACTTTTCAGCGCAGTTGGGAAGTGAACTGCAGTTTCACAGAAGGCAAGCCTTTCCACCGCCTGAAATCCAGGGCTACAAAGATTTAAATTAAACACTTTGGAGGATGTTTGTTTATAATAATATAATGAACTATTTGCAGTGTTCTTGATTACGTGGGTTTTTTCCCTAGCCCTCTGAAAAAGGTGCTGTTTCTCTTCCAGGAGTCGCAGCTATGCGCCCAGCAGCCGGTCCAGAGTGAGTTAGTGCAGAGGTGCCAGCAACTGCAGTCTCGGTTATCCACGCTTAAGATTGAAAATGAAGAGGTGAGCTAAACAACCCAAATCAACAACCCCTTTATTACTGCCAGTGGGGAGTGGCGACTAGTTAAGTAAAAAAATATCTGTTTTCTGTAATCCTCTTTTATGAAGACTGGTGGTAGAATTCAAGAATAAGGCAGCTGAGGCTGGCAGTATGTTAGTGTGTGATTTCACATGAAAACTGGGTGCATGGAGAGGATCCTTTAAAATACCCACCCGTATCTCTCTTCCCAGCTTTAAGTTGATAGGGCTGCCTGTGTTGCAAGAGTTGTATTTGATTAGCTTGATAGAAAAAGGGGAAATTGATGTTTTGAGGTGAAGACAGTGAATTTGCATAACTTAAGGTTAGGGCTAACTTTTGTTTAGTTGGTCATCTAAGATGAGAAGAGTAGATCAGTGGCATTTCTTTGGGAACGGAATACCTAATCTGTACCTCTGCATTCAAGCATTTTTAATCCTCAATCCTCCTTGGGCAAAATTTGCAACTCTTTAATATCTAGGAAGTTGTTTCTGGCCTTCAGTAAAAGTATACGGTGCCGCAAAGTCCTGTTTTTAATATCTAACATTTGTTGCCCAGTAGCTGTAGTTACAGCAGACCATTATAGATCTTTGTTCCAGTGCTCTTTGCTTTGAGGTTAAATTTCCTTACATCTCCTCATCCCAGCCTGGGAGATTGTGGTGTTTTCCTATTCCTGGCGGGTTCTGTGTGCCGCCAGCCCTTGGTTTATCTGGACCGTGCTGATAATGAGCAGAACTTGCACCTTAGTTATGGCACACAGGATGTGAAACCAGTAATATTTGTTTATTAGCAAAACGCTCCAGGGTACTTACTGCTGTTTTTTTACTTGCCACATGCTATCTTCATTTTTTAAGTACTCTCGTTCTTGCTGGACAGGTTAAGAAGACTATGGAAGCTACACTCCAGACAATCCAGGATATAGTCACGATAGAGGACTTTGATGTCTCTGACTGCTTTCAATACAGCAATTCTATGGAGTCTGTAAAATCCACTGTCTCGGAAACGTTCATGAGCAAACCGAGCATTGCCAAGAGACGGGCCAACCAGCAGGAGACAGAGCAGTTCTATTTCACAGTAAGGAGTTAATTTTCAGTATGAGCACATATAATGTATTTAGAATTATACTCACAAGAGAATGCAAAATTAGGCTATCATCTTACAAAAATGCTTCTGTAATTGATTTTGGACAAGCAGAGTAAGCGTGTTAGGTTTTAAAAACAGGCACTTTGAATTCTTTACAAATATATTGGGATACCTTTGTTGATGCAAACTTAGTCTGTGGATAAATTGTGTAAAATTTGATTTCTTCTGCATCTAAAAAGGAATTGTCTGAGAAATAACTTAATAGCTTGTAAATATCAATTTTCAAAAATAACACAAACTAAAAGAATGTTTAGCTCTTTCATATCTTGTTATTATCATCTTACAATTTCAGCTCACATAAGCTTTTAATTGTGTCGATGCATTTTTACAAGATGCTAAAAGCTTTTTATATTGAATTTCATACCAGACTATATGGTTTTTCCTGAATTAGATTTATGTTAAACTGTTGAATTCACTTCCATTTTAAAATCATTTCAAAATAGCATAGGAAAAGCATAGTTCTTACCCTGGTTACTTTGTCGTTCCTTTGGGCATCTTTTGCTATACTTACTGCTCTTTACATTCCTCTTCCAAGAACGGCGTCGCTGATTAAAAGTCTGAGGTTTCTGCGTAAATTACACTAGCTGGCAGGATGGTTTCTGTCAGGCCTTGACTTAAAAAAATTAAAAACCGGCTATTGAGAAAAGTGAGTGGAGAAACCGATCCAATTAAGAAGGGATTGCCCACCCTGCCCAGGGTTATGAAACTAGAAAAATGATTTTTTAATTGAACTCTAAGCGTTCCCTCTCTAGAGAGGGACTATCATAAGTTCAAATAGGAGACCGAACCCAGGACTTCATTGGGATGTAATATTTTTCCGTGTCATCGGGTTAGTGTCCTGCTGGACAGGAGGTCCCAGCAGGACAGCGGAGCCGTCTCGGTAAGCAGAGGCGCAATGTCCTGCGCGACGTGGGTAAAATAACTATCAACAGAACGGAGCTGTTGCATGGAGGCCCTCTTTGACCAGCCTAACCAATGCTTGATTGATCTACTATTGACTAGACTTATAATTATCCTTTATAAGCATTTCAAGCTTTGAATCTATAAGGAGGCGTTCTTTCAGTGTATGACAAAATGCCCCGACGAGCGTGAATGAGACTGAGGGCAGAGCTGTGTGGCAGGATGGGCGAGGCGTGCTTTGTGTAGGGGGAAGAAACCGTGTAGTGCAGAACAGAGATTTGAATCCCCACGTACCTTATGATGTGCTAAATGCTGAGGGATATGAACGGAAAGAAAAATACTAACTTGAAAGAATATTCCATATTACTATATAACTCAAATTGGAAATTCCACGTACCGCATTGCTAGCTAGGCAGAGCTCTTAGGTAAATAGAGCGATGCCGCCATGGGAATTTAATTGAAGGAGTACTGACTGTAGTATCTCTACGCTGATATGAACTGTGTTTCCACTAGAGGCATATCACTGCACGCTGGTGCCGAGATGGCTCTGTTGTTAGGGCTTTGCAGGGAGATTTGTATTCAGAATAGAAGCTTAAACTTCCCCGTGTCGGTGAAAAGCACAGGAGTGGTGACTGACTTAGCACCGAGCTAAGGCAGGTCGCCGAAGCGAGGAAGTAGCAGTGACTTCAGGGAGCCGAAATCTGGGGATGCGTCCCGGGTGCCTGGCAGGTGGGTACCACTGCTGCCATGGCTGCACTCCTGCTTCCTCAGCCGGCAGCATCGGAGCTGGCCTGAGGATGCCTGTCAGTGCGGAGATCGCACTGCTCATTGTAACAGAGCTGGCACTCCGCCCTACCTGAGAAGCGAAAAGGGGAATGAATGATTTGATTCTTTTTACCTCTAAAACGGGATAATTTTAGTTCTTAGTTGAAATGTTATTTTTTCCTCTGGAAAGATTAAAACCCAGTACAAAGCTCATTCTGTGAAGTGCTTTAAAAATTAATGTGCATTTATTATTAGCAAACCCTTAAGACGTGGGTAAGTATTATATAAAGTTCCCCCGCTAATCAGTCCTGCAGAAATGTCATGCTGGTTGTGTCAATGTGCCACTGTTCCCACGTTCCGGCGCTCGCAGCGGCGCAGGGGAGCGGGATCTGATTCACCCGCTCCTTCAATCGAGTGCCTTGTTTGAAGTCATTCTTGGGGGGCGGAGGGAGGGAGGAAAACTGCTGAGCTTTCCAGATCGGAGACAGTTAAGGATGTGGGACAGTGACAGAAACTGTTTTTCTTTATAGCCTCAAAAGCCTAAAAATCTCCTTTCCCACAAGGCAGGCAGGTCTGGTTTGCGTCGCGCTTTGTTGTCTGTGCCACCTGACAACTGCTGCTCGCTGCAAAAATACTGCAGCGAGTTTGGGCTTGGAGAGGGTGTCAACGTTGCACAGTTTTGAGGAGCTGGTAGGCGCAAAATGCTCACTGTCTCTAGCTAACAACAGATCTTCACCTCTTAATTTTTACAATGTGGAAATAAAGTGACCTGGGAACGTTTCTATTGCCTTGTGTCTCATTGTTCTTAGTCTGACTCCAGCTGTGCTCTGCTGGAAATGGAATCCTTAGGAGTTCTCCCATAGTTTGATGTTATTTTATTATTTTTTTTACTGTTTTTATTAAGCCAGAAATCAAATGCGAGTGGATCTTTGTAATGCAGAGGCCTGAAGCCTTATTTTGAAATTACTTATTTTTTCGTAAGTGTACTGGTAACAGGCAGGGTACAGAATGTTAGGCAAGGGGAAATAGAAAGAATGCAAGAAATACTGCGCTCGATAGGAACCTTTCCTTATTCTCCTTTAAAACAATCCCTGGTAGCTGCCTGCGGGCAGGCGATGTTCTCAATGTGACCGTGGCAAACACCTCAAAGCTAGAGGGTCTGCGAGTGCCGGCAGCGTGCCCCTGCCTTGCCCCACGCCGAACTGCAGCCACCAGTATCACAGAATGGTTTGGGTTGGAAGGGACCTTAAAGACCACCCAGTGCCACCCCCTGCCCTGGGCAGGGACACCTCCCCCCAGCCCGGGTTGCTCCGAGCCCCGTCCAACCTGGCCTTGACCACTCAGTAGGCTGAGCTTGAGTTTTTATATCTGCATCAAAGGGAAACTGAACTCTCTTCCAATCAAGTTGATCTGCTGATCTTTAAGCTTCTGTTTGAGCTATTTGGAGCTGAGCCTTTGAGCCCTTCTCTCTCTTTGCCTGATCGTGACTGGGAGCTCGGCACCTCCCAGAACCAGATTTATCCTCGAGTCCCCACTTCAAATTCCCTGGTTGGTTTTGCAGATTATACTCTTCATGTTTTCTTCTGCCAAAACTTGATGCAAAAATTTAAGTGATTGAGCAAAATACTAGTTGGGGCTTGGCGAACAGATTCTACAGAGAAATTCCAAAAAATATGATTAAGTTTTTTTTGCCACAGTGATCGTGCTTCTTGTTTTCTTCTGAAACAACAACAAAAAAAGCTGAAGTATTAGTGTAGGAAGCGGGAAGCGCTGAGACTCTCCGACGGGACTTAATCCTTGTGAAATTTTTCTTCCAATGTTGTCAACCAAAGGGACATAAAACACAGACTCCTGGCAGTTAATTAAAGCCGCAGCTCAGCCCTTTCTCTCTGTGGGGTCGGTGCGCACCGCTGCTGGAGAGCCCACGGTGGAAACTTCATCAGCTCCTGGAAGGTCTCCCCCCACCCTCAGTGCTACCTATGGATGTGTATTTATTGCTTCTTGGATCTTTGCATCCTGCATGGAGGCTGCTGTTGCTATGACCTGCCCAGGACAAGCAGGGTCCAGGCACTCTTGTAGCTAAAAGACTGTTTTTTCACCTGAAGGATTTGTAGTTGAATTCGGTAATGCTAGACCAGAACTGGGAGGAAGTGGACAGAATGGGAACGTTTCATTATTAAATGAGAATCCTTTCTTTGTGTTCATTTTGCTAGCTGAATTTTTAAAATATCTCATGATTCTAAAGAATGGCTTGCGAGGTTTGAAGAGTTATGTGCTATTTATGTATTTTCGAGTGTAAACGCGTCCTAATTATAATGTGGACAGCTATGGTACAGCAGAGTATTTTATGCACTGCAGCACGGTGAGGATAAACAATGTTTTTCTGAACTGCAAAGGAAGAGATGAAAGAGCTGTAAAAAACTAGCACTTGCAGAGCTGTGAAAAATCAGAAAGAAGTGGGAAAAATGACTGCATGATTGTATAATATTTCACCAAAGGAACAATTCTGAACTTAAATAATACCTTTATTTGTTTTGTCCTGTGCACCCCCCCACCCCCGGCAACCCTGTGTATCATCCAGCGTGGAGGCAGACACACTATTTGACAAGTAAAGTGGGGTGAGAGAGGTTAAGTGAGAGAATAAGCACAGTAGCAGCCTTTTAGTTTGTTAAAACAGATTGCTCATTCAGTTGCCTGTGACGCGCGAGGGAAGTGCATCTCCATTTCACCCTGTCTGGAGAGGAGGTGCATGACAGCTTCTCAGATGTCTTAAAAGATGCCAAACATTCAGCTGATTCCACAGCGAAACAATAGAAATTGCACTGCAGATACATAGGGACCGAGCTTCAGATTTGCCTAGATAAATAAAGCAGGAGAACTTAGTTCATCCTTTGCACCGTAAATTTCAGTGTAATTCTGGACTTCAGCATTGTGTTCAGAACCCAGTAACCTAAAGATGCAATCGAAAAAAAGTAATTGTCCATTCATGATATCGTTTTTTTCTGCCTTCACAGAAAATGAAGGAGTATCTGGAAGGCAGGAACCTGATAACAAAGCTCCAAGCCAAACACGACCTTCTGCAGAAGACCCTGGGAGAAAGTGAGTGTGGGACCCGCTCGTCACTGCTGTTAGCCAGGCTATTGCACTTATTGAATTAGTCAGCTGACTGGGCGCGACGGTCTTGGATTACTGATGCAAAGTGGACGTACTCATGTTTTATGAGTTTATTTTTCCGATCTGCATGATGGAGAAGCCAAATGACCTCCATGGCTGCTTGATAAATGGTGAACGGAAAATGCTTAATGAATCACTAATGTGCGTGGCTTATTTGTTAAAGTGAAGCGTATGCCCACTCGTTTATCCTGTCCTCTGCCCGTACACGCATGTTCTGCTTCTCACCTAATAATCTGCATTGGAGTAAACCTCGTGATTTACAGTTTACTGATCAGTTGAGAAGCATTGCCGTGTTAGGCTGATCAGAAGTTTCATTTGCGTGGTAGTTCAGCTACTTCTCACCTCTGTGGGTTCGATCCAGACCACACTAACGTATGTGAGCGTGGGCTTTTATTAGGAGAATAACAAACAAATTTCAGAGCGTGTAAAATATGTTGCCTATCTAGAGGGCATTAGTCAGGGGGCAGCAGCCAGAGCTGAATATGCATTTGCTATTAGTGTCAGAACAAAGCAAGATTTCTTTCCCTTCATGGTATGGGCAAATCCTGTTGGCCAAACAGGCTTAAACTATGCATCCAAGTTTCCATAGAAACCTGTCTGCCTCATATTTGCAGAGGAGAAGGTTTTAGCAGCCTAAATGTCAGGTCAAAAAATTGCTCAACTCGTTGCTGGGTTTATATGCTGGAGCAGAGCTCGTGTTTTGATATGTAACTTAACTGGACTCCCCGCAGTTTATGGTGTGCAAATCTTCTGAATGAAAACTTAAACAGCATGTGGTCTTTGAAGTGCTTCCCTTTAGTTTAAAAATGCACTATAAAACTAAAATACTTATTGCTAGAGTAATTAAGAGTTTCATGTTTATCAGACGCAAACCACTAGAAGGTAAGGAAAGGACGCTGTCATCGTTTTGTGCTTTATTGTTTAAAGTTGCTCATCTCCTCAGCTGTCCTGTAGAAAGGGTGGATGAAGCCAAAGATCTGTGTCCTTAGGGTATTTTTCTTCTGCCTCTAAATATCTCCGAATGACACCCGTGCTGCCCCTGTGACTAATCACATTCCTGGATCATAGCTGACCTCTGCATACCGAGACCTATTTCCTCTGAACCTGCCTGCCCCTTGAACCCGGCTCAAGCTGTGGTGGGGGAAAAAGAAGAGGAAATTAAATGCGATTTCTGTATTGCTATGTAGATTTAAAGGCTGCTTCTGTTTCCTTGTGATTGCTTTGCAAACCAGGGCTTTCTTAGTCGCTCTGTGAAGGGACCCAGTGTGTGTCAGGGTGAGCTCCAGCAGCTTTGGAAAAAAAAATGCCCTTTTGTCATCTGCGAGATCAAAAGGAGCTGAGAAAGGGAGGTACATCTCGTCTCTGAAACCACATTAGCAGGTTAATGGTACAAACTGGGGACCGTGCCTAGACTTATCCATAAAATGTCACTTAATTGGGAAATGGGCAAATAAAATTCCTTTCACAAGTCCCCGGAGCATGGTTAGAAGCTTTACTGAAAAATGTGCGTACAGCTGCGTCGTCTTCAGTCCCTGGAAAATTCACCGTTTTGTTACTATTTTTATTCTTCTTTGCCCCATCCTCAGGTGACATTTATTAGTCCTCTTGCAAATTACCTTAATCTAAAGATGGCAAGTTCCAGTAATAAAAAAAGCAGCCAGTCTTCCTATCTACGAGTAATTATGTCCCTGCCTACTGTACACATTTGTCACCCTAATGTAGGAGCCCCTTGATGTTGCCACAGCCGTGTAATTTATATATATGAATATTCTATGATGAAAATGGGACAGATGGCTGGAAATTCAGCTTCAGAATAACATTTTCATGTAAATTATGCACTGTTTTGGCTTTACGTGGGGAGAGGAAAGTGGCTATCGAGATGTGTTCAACTAATTGTCAGCCATCAGCAATTAGACGTTTCCCTCGTTCGTGCTTCCATCTCCCCAGGAGCAGGAAGACAACTGTAGGGAAGGTGGATTTTCAGCTGTTGTAAATCAGTATGGTTTCACTGATGATGATCTATACCAGTGAAAGATCTGGCCTGTACAATTCCCAAAGGCACATACTGGTTTTCTGTCTCTATTATTCCTCGTTGTGCTGTTTCAAAACGATGCCTGCGTTAGCAGTAGTCGTTAGCGGGGCTGCTTCCTTGCAAACTCAGTGCAAGTTAATGGAACGTTTTTATAAATATGTTTGTGGAAAATATCATTAAACGTCTGTCTCCCAAAATAGCTTAATGCCAGCACGTTCGGTCTGTGGGCTAACAAATCCATGAATGTTTTCAGTCTTACTAAGTGGCTTTATAAAGTATAATCTCTCGCCCCACCAATTCCCCTGGGAAGGGGGAGGGAGGGAGGGAGAGGCTGACAAGCCCAGTTTTTTGGCAGCAGAAGTCCACAATTAGAATGCACAGGGAACTAATTTTCAAAAACAATACTTTCCAAAGAAAGAGTCCTCGGGCAGCCCGAGCTGTTAGCTGGGTTTCCCGGTCGGCTGCGGCAGAGCGGTGCCGGCAGGGATGGGCTTCGGTGGGTTCCCGACAGCGCTCCCGTGGGAGGCAGCCCCTGTCCCGCACCCCGCAGCTGCCCCTTCCCTCTCCCGAGGGCTTTTCTCCTCCGTTTCCTTCCAAAACTGGCTTCCCAAAGCCGTTGAAAGTATTTTCCCTTTCCTCTCTCCTAATGCTGTATTTTTTTCATCTTCTTAACAGGTCAGCGGACTGACTGCTCCCTTGCCAGGTAGGTGCGGCTCAGGGGATCATTTTTTAAGGAAAATCTGATGCAAATTGGTCACTGCCATTCTAGATCAGTTACCAGCCCAGGCTATGTATCTATTAGAAAAAGATACTCATTTAGCTAACATATAAACACATT